ACACACACACACACACACACACCATAATTTAAAGTTCCAGGAGAGCCTCCAAAGCCACAGAGAAACTCTGTCTCGAAAAATCAAAAAAGAAAACAAAATATAATTAAAAGAAACCCTTTAAATGAGCCCCATGATGGTGGCTCACACCTTAATCCCAGAACATGGGAGGCAGAGACATGTGGATCTCTGTGAGTTCCAGGCCAGCCTGGCCTACAGAATGAGTTCCAGGATAGCAGAGGCTACACAGAGAAACCCTGTCTCAAAAAAATAAACATAAAAAATAAAATAAACAAGCAAAAAAGAAAGAACAAGCAAACAACCCAGTCACTGGATTTTAGAATAGAAACAATATCTATAATTGGTCTCAGTTTTTTGAAGTTCTAACATGAAAGTTCTATCTGGTGAAGTAATCCAAATGCAACTCAAAGAAACAAAAGGTTGGGGAAAAAACATAAAGTAACAACATTTCAATATAAAGTTGCTAATAGAAATTTACAAGAATTTGGAAGCAAAAGAATGAAGAGATAAGTTATGAGACTAAGAAGCTCGGAGGGACTCAGTTCTCCCTGGGTTGCTGAAGTAGAGGCAAGCATGTTAAACATTGTTAAAGACTTTTATCTTTGACTCACTGGGATCAGACTTGTTGGTCTTACCTTAATGTAAGCATCCTTTTTTTTTTTTGGACAGGGTCTTACATCTCTGACTTGCTATGTAGACCAGGATTATCTCAAACTCAGAGAGATCTACCTGCCTCTGTCTCCTGCATACTTTTTCCAAGTAAACTGGTAAAACATTTAAAAAATTAACTTAAAAATTAAAAACTCAAGCCAGGTGGTGATGGTACATGCCTTTAATCCCAGCACTTGGGAGGCAAAGGCAGGTGGATCTCTGTGAGTTCAAGGCCAGCCTGGTCTACAGAGGGAGTTCCAGGACATCCAGGGCTACACAGAGAAACCCTATCTCAAAAAACAAAACATTAAAAAAAATTAAAAGCCTACCAGCACAGGGTGTGTCTGTATGTGGCTGTGTGCATGTGTGTGTATGGTACCCATGGAGGCCAGAAGAGGGCATTGGGTCCTCTGGAGCTGGAGTTCCAGGCAGTTGTGAACCACCAGACATAAGTGTGGGGGAACTGAACTCAAGTCTTCTGCAAGAACAGTATGTGCTCTTTTTTTTTTTTTCCGAGGTAGGGTTTCTCTATGGCTTTCGAGGCTTTCCTAGAACTCACTCTTATAGACCAGGCTAGCCTCGAACTCATAGAGATCCACCTGCCTCTGCCTCCCGAGCGCTGGGATTAAAGGTGTGTGCCACCATCGCCCGGCTCAGTATGTGCTCTTTACAGATGAGCCATCCTTCCAGTTCCTCTTGTCAAGCTTCGAGCTTTCTCAGTAGTAGAGCAGCTCGAGCTGGTAACAGAAGGTGATGTCAGTGGAATTATATGATTTTCAAAGGCAGCAGCCACCATGACAGTAGCTGGCAGCAGTGGTGGCAGCAGCAAGAAGGCAGCTAGAGTGTCCCCGGGAGCTGCCAGGGACACAAACACTGAGATCCAGGGATAAGAAACATTGGCCCTGTCTCTGGAAGAGTCTCAAGGAGCTGCCAAGTAAGGGGTGAAAATCTGTAATATTTTATTCCCAAGAAGTATAACTATAGCTGCTGTCAAAAGTCCCTGTCTAGGGGCTGGAGAGATAGTTCAGAGGTTAAGAGCACTGGCCGCTCTTCCAGAGGTCCTGAGTTCAATTCCCAGCAACCACATGGTGGCTCACAATCATCTATAATGAGATCTGATGCCCTCTTCTGGCCTGCAGGGATGTAGGCAAACACTGTATACATAATACACAAATAAATCTTAAAAAAAAAAAGTCCCTGTCTAGGCCCAAGAGCTGTTATGGTAGATGCTCTAAGACCTGAAAGTCCCAATCCCCAAGGCTTTCCTAGCAGTTGTAAGACAAGCAGGCACCACCTGCTGCTGGAAGGTAAGGATGACAGCCACATACTAAGGCTACAGATGGAATAGCCCAGTCCTAGACTCCAACCCAGTGCCCAGAGTCCTAAGTCTCTGACTTCTAAGGAATTGGAAGCCTCTGTGTCAGTGTTGGGCATTTAAGGACCCAGAACTGCTGACACCAGAACAGCAATACTGGCTCTACTCATGACTTCTGGGTAGAGCAAAAGGACCCCAGTCAGCTCACTGGTAATAAGATAAGCAACTTGTTAGGATCTAACACATAGAACCATGACATGACTATACTTTAAAATGGTATACTAGTCAGACAGTGGTGGCGCAGCTTTTAATCCCAGCACTCAGGAGGCAGAGGCAGGCGGATCTCTGTGAGTTCAAAGACCAGCCTGGTCTACAAGAGGACAGCTTCCAAAGCCACAGAGAAACCCTGTTTCGAAAAAATCGAAATAAATAAATAACTAAAGATAAATAAATACAATTTTTCCTGAACGCTTTTGAATCTCAAAAGCAATTTTTATTGGACTGGAATGGTAGCTCAGTGGCTAAGAGAACTTGCTGCTCTCACAACCACCCAGAACCCCAACTCCAAAGGTCCAGCACTCTCTTCTGGCCTCTGTGGATACCCAGACATAGGCAGTATACATATAGTTACATAAATACATTTTTAAGTCTTTAAAAATATAACTTTTATTTATTTAGCTTTGCTGTTTATTTCTTCTTGAGACAGGATCTCAAATGGACCAAACTGGCCCTGAATTTGATAGATTGATCATCGTACCTCAATGCAGAGATGGAAGTGGGTATGGTGTGGTATGGTGGCTCACTGCTTTAACCCAGCACTCAAAGCAGGTGGATCTGAGTTTGAGGCCAGCCTGATCTACAGAACGAGTTCTAGGACTGACAGGGCTACCTAGATAAACCATGTCTCAAAAACAAACAAACAACAAAGGGAGGATCTTAACCAAAAAGCTTTTGTGTACACATTATTATCTTTTACTTTGGTTTTCCGAGATAGGGTTTCTCTATGGCTTTGAAGGCTGTCCTGGAACTAGCTCTTGTAGATCAGGCTGGTCTCGAACTCACAGAGACCCACCTGCCTCTGCCTCCAAGTGCTGGGATTAAAGGCGTGTGCCACCACCTCCGGGCACATTAGTTTATTAATCTCTTAAGTGAACCTCTAAATTCAGATCCTAGCCCTATGTCAGGAAGCTCACAACTACCTGGGACCCTAGCTCTAGCAGTTCAGGTTCTGTAGGTGGTAGACACACACAAAGAAAATAAAAATGTTGACTAAAAACAAACAAACAAAAACAGTGGCATTCCCTCTCCCTCTTTGTGTCCCAGATAACCTCCAGCACTTGGATTTGAGCAATCCTTGCAGCTCAGCATGTGGGAGTTCTATATCTTATTTTAGTTCTTATAGAAATTCTACTGATTAGATCTTACTTACAGATGAGGGAACTCAGGCTTGGACATTATGGTTTCCCCAAAGTCAGGTTGCCACTAACAGCTGAGCCACAACCCTAAGGAGGCCAGCTTTCTCACCAGGCTGTCTCTGTCACTCAACCCTAGCCCCCAAGACAGACATCCCTACTTCACAGACTTACTTAAAAGGAACGAGTCTCTGTTCGGCTGGTGGCGGTCAGATAGGGTAGTGGGCTGTTGGTGGTAGTGGCATTAAGTCAAGAATTAAAACCTTAAACATATGCATCATTTTAGAACTTACTGGTGCTCTCCTTCAGCTTCTAAATTGTGAGGGTGTTAGCTGAATTATTTGTATTTTTTGAAAGGAAATGCATGCCCCGCTTTGGCATTTTATATGGAAAAGATGTGATGGGTGTTCCTGTCACCTGTGGTTCTAAAAATTCTTGCTACATGTTTTTTATCTCTTTTTCAAATTGCAGAGATTTCCCCATGAGTTCCAAATTTAGAACTGAATTGATATCTCCACTTTGCCCCATCCACATTAGAAATAAGTAAAATCATGAGTACAAAATAAAAATTTACATGTGGCATAACTTCAGTCGCCTTCCTGAAGAATTTTCACAGGCACTGCACAATTTAGGAATAAAGTAACACACATATCATACCCACTTAAAAAATTCCTGTTTTTCAGGAAATGTGATCTATAATTTTTTCTTTAACTTTTCTGTTCAAGCAGTGGAAAAATATCAACATTTAACCCAGCAACAAAATGTTCAGGAAAACCAGCAATAAACATGAGCACGAATATGACTGCACTGCTTTCTCCCTTCATACAATTATGAGAACAAATGGTTGAGAATGATGACTAACGATTCCAGTTTGGTGCTCCTGATAAATCTGTGCATTCCTTGGAGGGAATTCAAAGAGCAGAAAAGAACGCCTTTAAACACCAGCAAGCTTCAAGTGACAGTAAGGAGAGGAGATAAATGAATGCATTTGGCAAATGGCAGCAAGGACGATGTCAACATCACCAAACAGAATTTAAAGGTAACAATTCTGAAGAACTGTCTAATGTCTAAGGCAAATCTCCCACCTCCACCATCCAGGGAAATCATCAGATCATGTGGCTATCCAGGACTGCTTTTCCTGGGCGTCCAGAGGAACCCTCAGAGGTCCACCTCTTCATTGTTTTCACTGGCATCACCTACCGGCTTGCTATCTTCCGTTGCTGACAGTCGGCCAGCTGGGCTGGGAGATGGGGTTCTTCACCTGAGGTGGCTCTAAGGACACTGAAGCTGGGCACTGATGGCTCACTGGAGTTTCACTCAACACCCCACCGACCAGCCTCACAAACACATTCATCACACCCTGCATCCCTAGGCAGGTAATGCAAAGCCCCAACTATAAATCAGGGGACCTGGAGTCCAAATTGAAAGCCTCTGATTACTGCACAGTGCAGATACGAAATGCATCGAGCAAATGACAGCATTGAATGAACTTTAAAACCGATTCTTGGATTTGAGGTTTGTTAGATACCCAAGTCTCTCTGACTCCACCCTGCTGAGAATCCATCAAACAAACAGGACCGGCGGTGAAGGAGTGCGGCTCTTACCTCCATCCCCACCAATCTCCAGGCTCCGCACCACCCAGTTGTTGTCCAGTCGGACACCTGCGAGGCACACCTGCAGGTGACACCCCCCTGCCCCTGCGGATGCACTGACGCTGGTGATTCAGCGCCTTTCTGCCTCCTGGGTTACCAGGGCGACGCATACGCACGCGCACACCCGCCCCTAGGGATGGCCTGCGCTGCAGCCTGCACTGTTCTACTAAACAGAGGGACCTTTCTGTTTGTTTCCCTGCTCTGGTTCCCCCTCTCCCACCACATCCCGACCATGGTTCCAAAATGTTGAGGGGGTGGACAAGTCTTCCAGAAAAATGCTCTGCCGGCGCAGCGCGCAACTGCTGCCCTCCAAGTCAAGTCACCAGGCTATTCAAGTCTTGTTTTCGGCCGAGCTTTTTGCGCGATCCCCAACCGGCCACAACGTAACTTAGCTTCTTGGTTTTGAGTGCCTCTTTTCCAATCAAGGAAGGAAAACCTGAGCCTATGTCGTCCACACAGATCAACTCTGTACTTTGCAAGGTTAAATGGATGCCGTACATTTCGACATGTGTCTAATAGTGAGAATCTGAATCAGAGGAAACGGGTGAAACACTATTCCTTTTTTTTTTTTTTTTTTTTTTTTTTGGTTTTTCGAGACAGGGTTTCTCTGTGGCTTTGGAGGCTGTCCTGGAACTAGCTCTTGTAGATTAGGCTGGCCTCGAACTCAGAGATCCACCTGCCTATGCCGACCAAGTGCTGGGATTAAAGGCGTGCGCCACCAACGCCCGGCTTAATTTTTAATATTATAATATGAATATCAAAGTACCTATGAACGGGCATCAAAGGGCAGAAAGCGTGGGCAGAGTATTCCTTATACATCCCATAAGACAGAGTTGCACACTGGAAGAATAAGCTTCCACTGGCTCCTCTGTGGAAATACCTCAGACAAGTTACAAACCCACTATTTCCAGAAGTACTCTAGTAATACCAAATAAATTAAAAACCAGAACCAGACATGGTAAGGTAGTAGGGATGATCACCTGTGAAGATGTGTTACTTTGCCTGTCTAAAACACCTGATTGGTCTAATAAAAAGCTGGACAGCCAGCAGCCAGGAAAGAGAAAGTATAGGCAGGGCTGGTAGAGAAAATAAATAGGAGAAATCTGGAAAAAAGATCTAGAAGTGGACTCAAGGGGCCAGTCACCCAGGTACAAAGGAAGCCCAGAGGCAAAAGACGAGTGGCTAGAGTTTGAAGCTGTCCTGATGCAACTAGCAAGTTCTAGGCCAGTCCAGGCTACTGTTTTGGTTTTTCAAGACTGGGATTGTGTAACAGCACTGACTGTCCTGGAATTCACTCTGTAGCCAGAAAGGGGAGAAGGCTCTGGGAGTAAAGGCACTTATTTTACCAAGCTTGATGTCTAAGTTAGATCCCTGAGACCTACATAAAAACAGAAATGACTCCACAAACTGCCCTCAGGCCTCCACATGTACTTACAAACATACATTTAAAAGCACCATACAGTATAAAAGTGGGAACTAGTGGAGATAATGAAATGTTTAGGTGTGGGAAGTGTGCCTTTAAACTCAGCTCTCAAGTTGTTGAAAGTCAATGTGATCTACAGAGGGAGTCCTGGACAGACAGAGCTACACAAAGAAATCCTGTCTTGAGAAACCAGTAAGTAAATTAAGGCTGAGGAGGAATAAAAGCATGGACTAATAAATAGGAAAATTAATTCAGTCGAAGGCCAACAGCAAACCTATTGAAGATATTTCCTCCTCCTGTCATGATATATATTTTAATATGACAGCCAGAGAAATGAAAGATGCAGACAGTGAAGAAATCCAGGCAGCAGTCTCTGACAAAGATGGAAATGGCTCATAGTGTACAACTCCCCCCAACCAATAACTCACCATGACAAATAAACTTCGGGGCAAAACAGTAAGATGGAGTAATCAGCAGATATTGGTGGAGATAATCAACCACACACCCTTAGAGATGACCACTACAAACCGAGGACCTACTTCCTTTCCCCCTCCAAAACAACCAAATGGAGCATCACTCAAAAGCAAACCACACAAAACCCAGCTTCTCTTTCATTCCCACAGTCTCCTTCAGACTGATGTGAAACCACTATCACATCTCTGATCTGCTATTCGGTGGACATTCACCCACCTCCCATTAACTGCCAGAAGGGTTCAAACAGAAAATTATTCAAGCTTTGTAGGTTTTTTGTTTTTCCTGATTGTTCACATGTGTTTGCTATGACATTCTTCACAATAAAAGCATGAAAGTATTTTATTTTGAAGAAGGGACAAACTCAACTTCAACAAGGTTAAAATACATTGCACAATGCATGTGGATGGCAAAAACTGTGCTTCCCAAAGGTGGGGGAGGCACAGCAAAAACTGGCCTCATGATGTAGTTCAATGGGAGAGCACTTGTCTGCCATCAATTGCTAGTTGGAATTTCACTGAAGGTAAGTTTCTGTTTAACTGAGCCAAACTGGAATCCAGTTGCACAGAGAGAGGAGTGATTAGCAAAGGGGTCAAAACCAGGCTGGAGAAACCCACAGAGACAGCCGACCTGAACAAGTGGGGAGCTCATGGACCTACCCAGACCCTCTGAAAGTGGGTGTCAGTTAGGAGGACTGGGCAGTCTATGCGGCCTCTGGTAGTGGATCAGTATTTATCTAGTACACAAAAGGATTTTGGGAGCCCATTCCACATAAAGGGATACTCTCTCAGCCTAGACACACGGGGGATGATGTGACAGTTTTTGAAGATCCCCCATGGAAGGCCTCCCTGGGGAGCAGAAAGGGGATCGGTGGAGGTCAGGGGAGGAGGGGAGGGAGAGGGAACTGGGACTGACATGTAAAATAAGACTGCTTCTAATTAATTAAAAAAATGTATAGAAAGTTTTTGTTTAATGTTCAAATAAAAAACTCAAGATATTACAAATTACTAGGTTCCCCAATTTGTTTAAAAACTACAGTCCATTAAAGACTACAGTGGATTCATCCTTACTTTTGTCGAAAGTGATAAACAAGGAAAGCATTTCTTACATGTACGTAACAGAAACTATACTTTCATTTTTTATAACAAACTGATGGTCCAATAGTATAATACATCACACCTTTCATATTGTGATCTTCTAGAGTTAATTCTCCCAAATGAGCCAACACCAGCCTCCTCCCCTACTGCACTGCTAAAATAGGTGCATCACACTGCCCTTTCCAAGTTAAATCTTTGGTTTTGTCTGGTTCTTCCTCTGTAGCCCAGACTAGCCTTAAGCTAATGGCAATCCTCCTACGATAGCTTTCAAAGTGCTATGGATTTAATATAATAAAACATACAGATTTCTTCATGATTCCCACTGAAAAGCAACATGCAAGGCTGTTTTCCCAATGGCAGCAGAACAACAAATTCCATCATGGACAGAGAAATTATACTCAGTCTCCAAACAAGGAAAATACTTTATTTACAGCACATTTTTTTCTTTACAGAACAGTAAAAAAAAATGTATTCTTTACTCACTTCCCGAAAAGTATTTCCATCTTACCAGTAACAAAACCAAAAGGTTACTTTTCTTCATTAATTTTTCTCTAAGAAAAAAGAGAAATTCCACACTGCTGGGTGTAATCATTACTAAACTTAACTTTGTTACTTACCAAAAAAAAAGTATATATATAATTAGAACAGTTACAGGAACTAAAGTGCAAATTGACTCATAACTTAAGTCATTATAAACCATCAGCTGACAAGAACTGTCTGATATACATCTGTCATCTACTTTACTGCAGATGGTCATGGCTTTGTCACTTAAGTTTCACATAAGACACAATGCAGAATCAAGAATTTAGTAGTTTACTTTTTCTCTTAACAAAATGGTTTAATATTATTTTGGTGCCTAGCAATATTCCTGTGAATGTTAGCCCTGAGACAATTTGGCCACTACTAGGAAGTCCTGATGGCAGCAATGAGCACTGTTACAATTTGAGTGGCTCTGTGTCCTCTTAACGCAAGCTGACACATTCTGAACAAAAGTGTGCTTTGATTACAAATACCAATGCTTAATTCTTAGGACACAAGCTACAAAGTAAAATGCATCTGTTTTTGATGTACTAATGATCCAGTTTATTAATTCTTGTGTGTTAAACCGAGCTTTCCTGAACAGTTGAGATCTGTATGGATCCAGAACTACTGCAAACATGTAAACTTCAAATTTGGAAAGCTTTTCACAAGACTACATTCAAGTTGCACAGGAGACCCCAGTGATCACTAGGAAATCTACCACAGTCCAGTTTTTCCAACCCAACAAGGTCTAAACTTTGGGGAATAAGGTGGCCCGCTTCTGCTCTAAAAAATACTCGATCAAAGCGATGTTTACAAGCAGCAGGAATCCTAAGGTTAGTATTTACTCTTGTATCCCATGTATACTGGCAATGTTTAGGTTTGCCCAAAAATTCCCAGGCATCAAAAACATTGTCAGGTAAACCGCCACATTTGATAACCTGTAAAAGAGAAAGAATATCATGTAAATTTATGTATTTATAATCTATAATATAACTTTATTTTTAAATTTTTTTTGGTTTTTCAATAATACACTATGTCGACCAGGCTGGTATTGAACTCACAGAGATCTACCTGCCTCTTTCCAAGTGCTGGGATTAAAGGCATGCACTACAATGCCTGGGAGTCACATTAAAAAAGCAAATAAACAAAAAAACCAAACCCTAATAATATTATTTTTATTTCCCCTCCCACTTACAGGTTTTAAAATTTTGTGGGCTGCTAAAATAGGATACCAGTCAAGTACAGGGTTAGCTTTGGTAACATACCAGGTTCAATCTCCAAGCTTTTATGTGTGGCAGAACACAGAAATCTAACGGCTTTAATCATTTGTGTGCACAATTTCAGGGTCTCCAACAGACTGACAGTATTGTATCATCAGCACTGCCTGGCTTCTGAGTATTAAGATTAAAGGTGTGTACACCACCAACCTAAGTACATATACTATTTCTAACTCACCTGCAATGGTTACATAATTATTGATGCCAGGCGTTGGTGGCGCACGCCTTTAATCCCAGCACTCGGGAGGCAGAGGCAGGTGGATCTCTGTGAGTTTGAGACCAGCCTAGTCTACAAAAGCTAGTTCCAGGACAGCCTCCAAAACAAT